TTTTATTTGCTACAGCTCACAGTCACCTCTGAATTCCACCATGAAACCTCTGGCAAAGATTTTAAGATTTATGTTAAAATGAGAAACAGTCAAAGCTGGAATACTAACTGGGAAAAGACAGGATTTTTCACAGGATCTCTGTCAATCAATGATCAAAGGATATGACAGAGACACTCGAGAGTCCTTTACTGATCAGCTTTGGACACTCAGGCAATTAAATAGAGGACAGTGCTCCCACTTGACTAATTCAGAAGTTTGCATGATATCATCGTGAATGGTCATTGGCTCCTGTAGAAGGAACAATTTTAAGAATGGAGAAGTTGGGCAGAAAACAGAAGGCAGGAATGTGTTAATTAGTGTACACCTACTAATCTAGCCACATAATTGCTTTACACAATATTGTACACTTAATTGGTCGAAGACAAATAATGGTCACCTGGGAAACCTACCAATTCATTAGGGATAGACTGATACCCAGAGGTATTCCCGGTGGCAGTCACGGTTCTTTATCAACGGCATACTGGGTTCAGCTAAGCTGACTGCAACTGTGCCCTCAAGATATATAAATTACACTATTTCTCAGAAGAAAAAAGAATGCACACAAAGTGGAGGGTACAGATTACAAGTTAGTGGAATTTAGAAGATTATGCAATATGAAAGAGAAAATGCTGGAAATGCTCAGCAGAACATCTGTTGAAAAGGAACAAGAGAGCAATTTTTTTAAGTCAATGATTTTAAAAGAGTATGATCATCCAACTGAAACTTGAACTTTGTTTACCTCTCCACAGATGTCGCCTGACCCACGAAGCATTTCCAGCATTCTCTTTCTTCCTTTAAATTTTAGACTTCCTTTATCTGCAGTTGTTATTTTGGAAGGCCGTGAATTACGAAGTTCACCTGCAGCTCTATTTTATCTATCATAATGCTTTGCACAGTGGCAAAGGGTGCCCTTGTGATAAGAGGTTTTAAAATTGCCTTAAAGAAGTAAAGGGTGATATAAAGGCTAAGAGTTTTAGGGGGGAATTTCAGAGTGTAGGGCCTGAGCAGTTCAAAGCATGGTGATGAAAGATGGAGCAATAAAAATTATCCAAAACTAGTTGAGTGCAGACAGTGTTGTAGGGATGGAGCAAAGGAGTAAGGTGATGATTCTCACTCAGAGATAGTAAGAACTGCCGATGCTGGAGTCAGAGATAACACAGTGTGCAGCTGGAAGAACACAGCAGGGCAGGCAGCATCAAAGGAGCATGAAAATTGACGTTTCCGTCTGAAGAAGGGTCCCGACCCGAAACGTCAGATTTCCTGCTCCTCTGATGCTGCCTGGTCTATAAGTGATGATTCTCATCTTGGTTTTCAATCAGGAAGAACACTCTCAAATTCAGAATATTTTGTGTAGTTTGAGAAGGCTCACATTAAGGTTATGGATTTCTGTACAACTGCTTCACCTGTCTCCTCATTAACAGGAACAAACTTTGAGTTAAAAATTATCACTCTGAACTCTACCAAATTTGCACTGTAGTAGGATGTCTTCTGGTGGTCCCTGCCAAGGGTAGGGTGCAGGGCTGTTAGCTGGTGATGATGAGTTGTGATGACGGCGAAGGGATCAGTGACAAAATGAGCCAGTCAGAAGAATGAAGACCCCTTACAGTGACATGCACACATTTAAAATGTGATGCACACTGCGCAAGGCTTTTATTATACATGATAAATAACATCCCCCAGGGGAGGTTGCAGTTTAGTAATAGATTATAAGACTAGTAAGCAACAAATGGGTCTCAAGAGCCAAGTTCACACTTGATAATATACCAAATGTTCCAGACATCCCACTTGCATTGGATGAAGGTAAATGCATTTTACATGAGGTACTGGATGATAAACCTCTGAATCTTAGCTCCTCTGCCATACTGCCCCTGGTTCCCAAAATCAGAATGAGAAATACAATCAACAGCAATTGAAAATTGGATTCACAATAACTGGATTAACAGCCGGATCCTTGAAGAAGATGACTTTCTCCACAGTTTTAAAATGTTGTTGTACCTTTTACAGTAGTTTGGGGCCAGGGAATGTATTCACAACCCATATATCTAACTGTAATTGTAATATTGTAATTAAAAAGTAATTGAAGCAGCATAGCACTGTGAAACCAATTAAATTTGTATTAAATCTAAATTATATCTTTCATGTCTCGGCTTTCTTGGAGATGAAAAAGACAAGTTTTTTCCGGTAACGTAGAGGGAAGGAGGATGACATGGAAGAGAAGAAAATCCGGATGTGAGTGAGGATGAGTTGGCAAATCAATAGAGAAATGAATTATGCCAATTTCACGTCAGTCTGATAAATTCTGCGCATCTGCATTCTCTCACATTATCCATGTTAAGATGGTGATGCACAGTGCTGCCAACAATTTGTTTGAACTTAACAGTTACCCAATTCTGGCAAAATGCTCAACTCCAGCTGCACCATGCATACAAATCTCAATTCAGGTATTTTTGGGCTCTCTCTTCACAAAAAATCTTGAACAAGTTGGGGAAAGTACAAAACCTTTTAAACATTTAAACCCAGCAAATAAAGTTCCCTCACCTGGGAAAAAAAAATCCATTACTAAAAATTAGGCAGTGAATGACAGTCAAACATTCAGCCGCACAAATATTGCTGTTTGGAGTGATCTCTGGTGAAGGTACATTCTTTAAATTTTCATTCAATAAAACTTTTCAATTTGTTTTCTTCTCTCCCTCCCAAAGAATGTTCACTTTCACAACATGTTGAATTATTTTACCAAAGATTTCACCAAAGATAATCAGTCCTAAGTCTTCATCTGGTCTACACACTGAAGTATTACTGAGGGGAAAGAACTCCTGAACAAACCTACACTGAGTACAGTAGGCACATGTCACTCGGTAGCAGCCAATCCCTGCTTCACTTGTACAGATGAACAGCACTGCATTGAAACAATTGGAAAAGCTGAAAAGAAGGTTTAACGAATGTGAAATTTGCCTTGTTCTTTGACCTTAATACAATTGAAATGATTTTATTGCAGCAGGTGATCAGACTGGAAAAGAACACAATTTGTCCCACTAATGTTCAGATTAAGTAGAGCCTAGATTGTTTCTGGAACACTGGACTCTTCTGAAAAGACATCCAACTGTCCTTGAGAAAGTCAGACTGCACCACTTGTCTTGAGGGCTTCCGAGACAGATGCAGTGGCTGGGACTTCCAGAAGGAGGCACACTTGTATAGGTTGAAAACTATCAATCAAGCAGGGTGGCGCAATGACTTAAATCCAGTCTAAATTTAAAATCAAAAACTTTGAGGCGCACAGAATTTATCACACGGATAACACAACCTTAATTTCCACAGAGATGCCAAAATGATTCTGAAAAAGATTTCTGTATGTCAAAGCATCAGAAAAATTCCCCCAATTCCAGAGTTTGCATGTTTGTTGCAGATTTCAACCCTTGTATCCAAGGAGAAATGCATTTGAGCACCTGTCCCTAAGGCAGGCTAGTTAAATTTACGAACAAGAACAGAAGTTGCTGGAACGGTTCAGCAGGTCTGGCAGCATCTGTGAAGAAAAATCAGAGTTAACGTTTCGGCTCCTGTGACCCTTCCTCAGAACAGATTTACAGTATCTTACTGCCACTGTTCTAATGCAGGAAGTTTTTTTTTCCCCAATCTGATCTATGACCAGCCAGGACACCCTGACCTATCATAACTCAAACACAGAGACAAGATTTATGTAGTTTGTAAAGCGAAGACCGCAAGCCCCATTGCACATACGAGGAAAAAATGAATTTCCATTCTCAGCCTATTTCAGCACAAATTCACAGGAAATTCATTCCTAGCATTTTACTTAGCACGCAGAAAAGTATAGACGAAGTACACGTGTGCAGTTGAGTTCACGCAGCAAATCAGCAGAGGATTTTTTTTAAAAAATCGCTGCATCTACCTATACACAGCAATTGGACATGCCGTGCAGTCTCTGTTCGGAATTGGCTCTCCAAGGTGCTGCCGGGACGTAGAAAATTGCATTTTAACAGACCAAATTCTCCCTCCGAAACTTACTGGACAAACAGCTCTAAGACAGTTCGGCAAAGCCTGCTTCAGATATGAACTTCGAAATACAGGCATGTGTGCGGTATTATGTTGTCTTTCGTGACTGCCCAGTGTTTGTGCGATTACAATCAGCTTGATCCTAAATATCTCAACAAACTGAAAAGAAACCTTTCGGAAGTCTCCCGCTCCCCGCCTCGAACAACGTTTGCTCGTCATTAGTTTGGAACGATTTCACCTTTCCGTTTGTTACATTTTAGGAGTATCAAATTGTTGCACTACAATCTCTCAATGGAGGACAACTTTGAAGTCGAGGAGTCTTTTACACGGTGGGGATGTGGTTTGGGGAGTTGGCTGTTGAACCGCTGGCGGCTTGAGATGGACACTCGCGAGTCTCTTTCCGGGACTGTTGCTCGCAAACAGAAGATGAACATTGCTGCCACGGGAAGAAGGTGAGAGAGGATCTGTTTGAACGATCCTCTCGGGTCATTCCGATCCTGTAATTGAAAAATCGATGCAGTGTCCTGCAGTCAGAGAGATACCGGTGTGAAAAATAGAAGCTCTGTTCACCGTCCACGGTTTACAGCCTCTCAGTCCAATTTATTTTCCAGGAGGCCAGGCACTTTCAGCCTCACAGATGAAAACGATTGTCTTGGCCATCATATTCTCTTAAATCACAACCACATTTTACTCAATTATGCCGGGAGTTTGACCGTTTTATGCAGACTGGTCCAAGCACGATTTTAACAGCCTTGCCAAGTGGCAGGTTCACAGATTGCTACTCTTTGCTCTTGTTATGAACTTAACTGGCTACCACTCTGCGTACACCCATCTCTGAAAGGGACACAGGTCCCAGTAGCGCCCTTCACATGTCATTTCTTTCACAAACCGGCTGTAACACACAAAGAAAAAGGCAATGACAATGTACAGCACTTTATTTCCCCCTCTCTTACCCTTTTCCCTTCGACCTGCGGCGCAGAGAGCCCAAGGAAGCAGCCAGCAGCATCCCAGTAGCAGTTTCTTCATGGTCCCTCGTCTCGGTGGGAGGGATCCTGGATGCGTCCAAACCTCCTCAAGCCTTGCGATTTCTTTAACTCTAACGGCAGCGGCTCTTCTCGAGGCGAGGGAGTCGGACGGTGGTCTAGCGGCCGATCCTTTCACGCCGCACTTTCAGACAGCACTTTAACCAAAACTCCGGCTCCGCGGTGAGGGTCCCTTTTTGTCAGTGTGTGCGTGTGTTGCAACCTGCTGCGCTCAGGCGGACCTGATTGAGCGCGGGCGCTTTGATTGACAGGCGGGCTCCTCCAATCGGTGCCGTGCCGCAGGTCTCCGCTTTCCAAAGATGGAAAGTTACATCCAACAGGCGACCAATGGGAGGGCGCGGGGCCGGCGCGTGCACCCCTTTCCCCGCCCCCTGGGCTCAAGACGCGTGTGGTTCTGCCGCACAAGCCGGTGTCTGCGGCTGGAGGCGATCCCTTTCCCTCTCTCACAGACGGACTCGGAGAGGAACAGGGGTGGCGGATGTTCAGCCTTCACTTCTACCACCAGACGCGCCACCTACCCCCCCACCCCCCAACCCCGATCCCAGTCGGAAGCAAAGCTGACCTTTGCCAGCAATGGGCAGAGGCGAAACACTCTTCCCTCCCCTCCCTTTTGCTAATCTCAGACGGCCGAGTGAACCGGTTGCTCGTTATCTGCAACGTTTTGTTCCCCGAGTGCAGGCACCATGCGAATTCGAATTAATAGATTGATCCAGGAACCTCAGAGCATTGCATACGGACTGCCGCAAAAAGAGCATCAATGTTAACCCTTGAAGCTCGAGCGTCAGAGATTTATTAAAGTTTGTTCTTCGTGTTTTATGCTTCTTCCTGAAAAACCTGTTGCATAACCCCGCATCGAAAATTGATCATTTCTGTTTGTAAACCTCGCAGGATGTCAGATCAAACAAAATGACATTGTCGCACATGACAAGCGGAAATCGGTAATTATTTTAAAAATGCATATTGGTGAGAGAATTTACGACTGAGATTGTCAAATCTAAAACTGTCAGATTTTAAACTCCACAGTGTGTGATATAAACCTGATACAAATAAAATTATAACACTAATTTGAAATAAGACACCAATAGTAGTAAGTGCTCTATTGCTTGAAGTGTCATTTAATATTGACTAACCCCCAAACTAAACAGACACAATTATCTTATTAAATCAGCTTGATCACAAGCAAGATGATGTAACTATCATAGTACACACAGTTAGTTCATAATTAACATCATGTCATGCATGAGTTAAGTCCAGCTCACATCGCAGTCTTAGATTGATAATTAATGTTAGACAGTGCGTATTACATAGCGACAGTTTGTCTCAGCTGGTAGTACTCTCACCCCTGAGTCAGAAGGTAGGAGGATCAATCACATAACTCAAGCTGTTCGTGCAAATGAGATGTTAACCTGAGGCCTGATTTAGTTATTCAGATAGATGTTAGAAGAGGAAGGGTCACTCGACCCGAAACGTTAACTCTAATTTCTCTCCGCAGATGCTGCCAGACCTGCTGAGCTTTTCCAGCAATCTCTTATTGTATCTGATTTAGAGCATCTGCAATTCTTTCCGTTTGTATTTCGATGTTAGAAAACCTCGTGGCATATGCTAAAGGAAAATGGTCCAAGTGAAATAGCCAACACACTTTCTTCAGTCAACTCTGAGAAAGAAATGCTTGCATTTATAGAGGGCTTTTCAAAATCGCAAGACACCCCAACAGGATGAGGGGTGTGGATATGCCAGCATTTATTGCCCATTCTTGAGGGCAGTGAAGGGTCAACCACATTGCTATGAATCTGAAGTCACATGCAGTTTCCTTATTGAAAGAGCATCCCATCCTCATTTAGGGGTGCCACGGTGGCTCAGTGGTTAGCACTGCTGCCTCACAGTGCCACGGACCCGGGTTTGATTCCATCCTCTCCCTGTGTCTGTATATGATTCCTTTGTGTACTCTGGTTTCTTCCCACAGTCCAAAGATGTGCAGGATAGGTGGATTGGCCATGCTAAATTGCCTATAATGTCCAGAGGTGTGCATGATAGATGGATTAGTCATGTAAATATGGGGATAAGATAGTGGGGTGGATCTGGATGGGATGCTCTTCAGAGGGTCAGTGTGGACTAAATGGGCGGAGTGGCCTGCTTGCACACTGTAGGGATTCAGTGATTCATTGCTCATAGATCCCATTTTTTGCTGGACAGGAAAGAAATGGGCTCGATTCACGCAGGTGGAGAACCTAAACTCAGCAGGGTCAATTGAAATTAGTAGAGGTTCAACGAATCCCCATTTTGTCTGTTCCAAGGACCTTAACCCTGTTGAGACACATGCAGAATTATGGAGAAGATATAAATCCCTTGAAGGGCATAGGAGTCTATTTAAGTGTCACGGCATTATTTATCATTCTCCATCCCTTCAAACAATGAAAAGAACAGGCTGCAACAGGTGAAGAGAACCAAACCATATCACTCGACATCCAATGGCGTTAACATCACTGAACCCCTCCAAATGCCGATACCTCATTCCATCTCCAACACCCCTTACGCTGCCTAATATGAATATTCTGGGATTATCATTGAACAAAAACTCGACTGAACCAGCCATATAAAAATGTCGTGACAAGACGTTCAGAATCATGCAGCAAGTAACTCACCTCCTGATTCCCCAAAGCCTGTTCACCACCTGCAAGGCAGAAGTCACTTATCTGGTTGAATACAGTTCCAAGAACAGTCAAGAAACTTGAAACCATCAAGGACTACCAGCCTGCTTGATTGACACCATATCTACAAACAATAACACCTTTCATCACCAACACAGAGCAATAGCAGCGCATACCAACTCCAGGATAAGTTGCAAAAATTCACTGAGGCTCTTCAGGTGGCATCTTGCCATGACCACTACCAAGGTCAAAGACAACAAGTACATGGGAACATCACCACCTGCAAGTTCCCCTTCAAGTCAAACACTATCCTGATTTGGATCTTTATCAGCGTTCCTTCACTTTCAAAATCCTAGAACTCCCTTCTTAATAGTGTGGGTTTACCAGACCAAATGGGCATCATCTTTCCAAGAATGCAGCTCTCCATCAACTTTTCAACGCCAATTAGGGATGTCTCATTTGAAATATTCAGATTGATCCTGAGAGTGGCCAGCGAGATGTTGCAGGGAAATGGAATTGACAGCCGAAGAATGGGAGTTTGTCTTCAATCCCTGCCACAATGTCCTGGTTCTTGCCATTACTAATTCAGAGGAAATTTAGCCTCACCAAAGACAGGCATGAGAACACAGAGATACTGGAGGTGTTGAAAGAAGTGTTGTTGTGGCAGAACTGGCAATTGTCGATATTATTTCGAACTTATTTGCTCGTCTTCAGATGATAGTGCTGAGGAACAGCATATTAATAAGAAATGGGAGGAGGGGTGGAGCAGGAAGTGATCCTTAGAAATTGCTCACTTGTGACATTGTGGCAACATGTCTTCAAATTATGCTGTGTGTATTTGCCTCAAGGTCTTGCCCTACTTGAATTTGAATATGAAATGGAGTGTAGCTCCAATATATTACCAAAAATATCATAAAAGGTTCTGAGACAAGCAATTGGATTTCTTGCATATTTTCTGAACTTTCACTGAGTGTGTATCGTCCTTGCCTGAATGGGTCTCTGTCTCTCTCAACACTCTTTGATTCAGAACTCTCTGATTTGAGAGTTTATTTCACTCCTGTGATTTGAGTGCAAGATTTAGGCTGACACTTAAGTGCAGTACTGAATCAGTCTAACAAGATCAGAAGGTGCGGTCTTTCAGAAAAGACGTTAAAATGAAACACCATCTGCTCTGTTAGGCGTCATGAAAACAAACAAATGGTTTCAACATTGCTGTTTGTAGGAGCTTGTTGTGCACATGTTGGCTGCCATGTTTTCTCCAAAGCATTAATGACCACACTTCATTGGATAAAAAAACAATTTGGGACATCCTAAGGTTGTGAAAAGCATTTTATAAATGCAAGTCTGTCTTTCCTGCTTCCTTTCTTCCTTTTCACTCAATGGTGTGAACTTTCTCATTCGCACTCTCAAAATGCTTAAAATCCGCCATCCGGGAATGGAAATCTGTGAGAGTGTACACTATGTGCGTAGATCTCTTTCTCCTGACGACAACAGTCACCTTCACAGGCAGCTAGTGTGAATAAAGTGCTGTTAGCTTTGGATGCATTTTGTCCACATATTCTCAGACTTGTAGTCAGAAGTTTCAGAGAGAGGTTTTGTAATTTTCAGTTACTCCTCCTGTTGTTCTGCAAAGATGAATTGTTTTTCTCTCTTGGGCTGTACCTTATTTCAGAATGCTTCTCTAGTTCACTGTAATATGGAGTGAGATCCTTCCTCCCACATGTCCTGTTGAAACGCAGTCTGTTGGGTTTTATTTTGTATGTAAAGCATTTACATCGATACTGCAAACATGCCAGTCTCCTCCGCTTCAAAACAAACAAATATACTGCCACACAGACTGCTCATGAAATCCAGCTGTTGTATATTCACAGAATGATTTACTCCTGTTATTTTCACCATGTACAGAGATACAGACACAAAAGACACTATCCTTGCAGAGACACATTCCTCTGCTAGGTCTAGAGGCTTTGCTCTGCCATTTGCTGTTTGACAAAACGGGAAGGAAGTAATGGCATGAAATTGTGGACATATAAATCTGCCATTGTCCTTCTTATTCTCCATTTATTGAGAGTGGACAGCATAGGTTATTCCTGTAGTCTGACACTCTGGTTTGAAGTGAATCCCGATCATGTGAAAAACATGAGCACTAAATTGTTAATTCGGTTTTGACTGTTTTTCCATTTCTTGCACATATGTACAAGAAATGGAAAAATAGGCAAAAACATATGTACAAGAAATGTACATAGGATAGAAGGCAAAGCCCATTTGACCCATGCTGATGCTTTATGCTGAACTCAAGCCAACCTTGTACTACTTCTGCACAAAGCCCAACATTTGCTGCAAGCATGGGCACAGAACACCTCTTGTTTATTCCTACCCAATATTGTAAGTGATGTTCCATCCTTATAATCTCCGTTTGCAATTCGAGGGCAAGTGTCATCTTTTGTGTTCACGCTACTATTTACTAAATTATCCTGAAAGCAATGATCAAGAGGGCAAACAGCCCCCTTCCAAATATCAGCATTTGCATG